TTGAATGTTCCAATCGCTTTGTAATATTAGATCATATTACAATGCCGTCCGTTCACGACTTTCACTCATCATTCCGTATAGCGTCAAATAAATCATAATCGTTTCATTCCTGAATCATGAATAATTTTGGCATTTTTTCGGTTAACTTGAGAAATACAGTTATTCATTATCGAAGTGATAGTAACGTTGTGGTACTATAAGTAGGATGATATTATCCCTGTTAGGAGGATGAAGTCGGGAAAGGTGATCAACCAGACGCTTTGGCGTAAGTGCCACTGCTGTTGAAAATTGCGATGTTGTCGCTGCCTAGCAAAAAACTTCATGCGCCACATTTAACTAATAACGTTGTTTTATTAGATTTTGCTTATGTTTAATAGACAATTGCTGGCGAACAGAGGAATGATTATGCGATGAATTAGTAATAATAATAATATTATTATTATTATCATTATTATTTTATTGCTGCGCATAAATTATTTAATTCCGCAATAATCCGATTCGAAGTGAGTGTTTTGTTTTTGTTGTGTTGTGTACGTGGTGTGATAAACGAGATATTTTTTCGAATGAAACGATTCGACATTGACGTCAGTCACTGATACGAGTAATTTGGTTGCAGTTAAAGTGATTCGACTGAGAGTAAAACACGGTTTATTAATAATTAATTGAATATTGTGATATGCGTTAAACAATGGTCTACAATGAGGCAGCAGTCATAACAAACGGTGAAAAATTGAATGGCAAATCGTCATCGTCATCGAAACGTTTGTTATTTGATTGATTTTTGGTTTCATGTAATTTATTTTAGCATAATGATAAGTTGGTAAACTTTACATGACGCTTCAGTCGGACGACGGAGTTGAACGTTATTCGAAGACTTTCAAAACTTTTTAGTAGAAGAGATATGTATGAAATGAAGTGAATGAATTTGGTATGTAGCAAAAATTTGGCATTTGGAATTTAGCGCAGTTTTCGCATCGGAATTAATTCATCGAGTTTTTCAAACAAATATAATTCTAATACTGTTGTTATTCTTCCTATCATCATTGTATGTAAAAACAACAAAAAACAACAATTGCAGAAGTATGTCGATCGCCAGCGTCAAGTAGCAGTGATAACCACGACCAGTCGCCATCGCAGTCTCCACCACGCCCGCATCGATCTGCATCCACATCGCACAAGAAACGATCCAGTGTTCGTGATTCATCGAGTAAAAAACGCAAGCGATCGCATTCCTCATTGACACCTCCACCGACACACAACAGGTTGNGTAGTGAGCAAGAGGCTGTTTGATAGGATAGCGATATCCGCTCGATTCGGATCTGAATGAATTGGAACATGAAATGAAAGCGTTCACTAGCAGTCAGTCAGCTTATGAAAGACAGATTTTATGATGCATTATGTGGTATTAACAACGCAAATTCATAGCATAAAATGTGATTACTTGCGAATGATGTTAACTTTTTCATTGTGAAGCGTAATGATGGCTGGAATGGAATGTAATTGCTCGGTTGAGCGACTTTAGTATTAATAGAAAGAAATGTGCGCATTGTTGAGGAGTGTTCAAATGAGAATTGTGTTGTGGCAGCAAATGAATGAATGATTCAGCGATATTGATCGAGTTTTGGTAATAATCCGGAAATTTAAAGGCGATCTCGGTCGCGGTCGCGTTCTCGTTCCACTTCCCGTCAACGTAAGAGGAAACGTTCTCAGACACCGTCAAATGTGAAGAGTCGTGACTATGAACGCAGATCGAATGACCATCGACGATCGGATTCGAGAAGAGACAATAATGTGTCGTCGTCTTCGTCGAGTCGAAGGCCATCGAACAGGTTGAGTTATTGCTTGATTGATATGATCAAGAAATGACTCATATGAAAGCAAGCGAGAGAAGTGATCAACTGAACACTTGTAGAGGGTCATCATCGTTCTACGGAAGTGGCAGCAGCACTGCACTGAAGCGAATGCATCGAACGGCACAGCGCTCGAGTGGCGGAGGTGGCGAGAGTAAGTCGTCGAGGAGAGGCGATAAACGAGACTCGAGACGTGCTCGACGCAGCAGATCCAGATCCTCGAGTTCCAGTACGTCATCCACCGACACGTCATCACCGTCGTTTAGGAGTATGAATGAGTGAGTGATTTGTTTGAATGATTCCTCCATTAGCACGAATACATTTCAGGTGGTTGAGATGCCCTTTGTCTCATACTGGAGCGGTTTTTGGGTATATATTCACGTTGAAATTTGGGCGTATTCTCTTGAAGTATTACGATATGCAAAATTCTTTTACAGATTTCGATATCGATTCCCAAATTTGTATAATTTGAATGATGACTTGAAACGAGCGGATATTGCTGTTTGGAAATAATAATATTGAATTGAGTGATTAGGAAAAGTGAGTGAATATTATTCACTGTTGATAATCTGCAAGAAATTTCAGTTTGCGATTGAAGC